TGTGTGTGTGAGGGGATGCTTGCTCACTATGAACTGTGTTCATGACTCAGAGTGCCTTCCTGTGTATCCTGTCTGGGGACCACAGATACAGGGAGGCGATACAAGTCCAGACTGTGGGAGTGACACGTGCTCCCACATGGATGAACCCCCAAACATTATGTAAGTGAAGGAAGCCTTAGAGCATGTGATTCCATTGATAAGAAATGTCCGAAACAAGGAAATCCACAAAGACAGAAAGTGGAATTCCTGGCTGCCAGGGGCTGGGGGAGGGGGAGGGGACGTGACTGCTCATGAGTTTTCCTTTTGGGGTGATGGAATGTTCTGGAACTAGACCGTGGTGATGAGTGTACAACTTTGTGTAGAATTCTAACAATCACTGAATTACCCTTTAAAGGGGTGAATTTATGGTATGTGAACTATTTTACGGTATCTATCTCGATTATATATAAATATAAATAGATATAAAGTCCTAACTCTGCATCACAGAGTTAGGGGCTTGGTCCCTGACTGTCACCATCCGGCTGTGTGACCTTGTGCAAGTCGCTGCTCCTCTCTGAGCCCATGTCGATAATAACACTCTTTTGTATGGTTGTTGTGAGGATGAAGAGAGAACAGGGTGCAAGGGCTGGCCCAAAGCCCCATCGGTGATTTTTATTTATTATTTTTTACACCTTTACTTCTTGATTTTTTTAGAGAGAAAGGAAGGGATGGAGGGAAGGAGGCACGGAGGGAAGAAGAGAGAGGGAGATTTGTTGTTCCACCTATTTATGCATTCATGGCTGATTCTTTTTTAATATATTTTTACTGATTTCAGAGAGGAAGGAAGAGGGAGAGAGACAGAAACATCCATGATGAGAGAGAATCATGGATCGGTTGCCTTCCACAAGTCCCCCACTGGGGATCAAGCCCACAACCCAGGCATGTGCCCTTGACCGGAATCGAACCTGGGACCCTTCCGTTCGCAGGCCGACGCTCTATCCACTGAACCAAACCAGCTAGGGCCATGGTTGATTTTTGAATGTGCCCTGACTCTCATAACCTTGGCATATAGAGATGATGCTCTAACCAACTGAGCTTCCCGGCCAAGACTCATCGGTGATTTTTTTTTTTTATTGCTCCTCCCAATATCACTGCCCTATCTGTCTGTCTCATTCCTGGCCCCCATAAGAGCCTGGTCCCCAAGTCCAGGGGTGTGCTATAAGCTTCATGACGTGCTCACAAGGCCATTCCCCTTCTCCAGGCAGGGAGGGTTCAAGGAAACAGTTGGAATCCTACAATCCTTGAGGCCTAGTGTATTTACACATCAGTCACCATGCGTGTGGGTCTGTGTCTATGCTGTATGTGTACACATGTAGACATATGCTGGAGAGATGGGGTGGGTCTGTTGGACAGACATGGAAAGGCAGCTCAGAGAAGCTAAGCAGCTGGCCCCGGAGGGTGGGGGTGTGTGGTGGACTTGAGTAGGTACAGCGTGTACGGCGTTTAGGAAGCTGTGTGCATGGCTCCGGGGTGTGTGCCTGCCTGCATGCATGCGTGTCTTGGGTCCATGAGTGTAGGTGTGGACAGAGGCAGCATGGGAACCCCAAGGTGAGCATGCACTCCAGGCACCCCAGCTGGGGAAGCGTGTCTGCGTTCACCCTCCTGGTGAGGTTGCCAAGTGTCTCCTGGGACCCAGAGAAGTCACCCCTAGCGATGACAGCCTGGTGACCTGTGGCAATGTCTCCCTGGCCCATCGTGAACGCTGGTGTTGGGGGGAGGAAATGGGGAGGGCGAGCCCTGCTCCCACCATCACCCCAGGGGCTGACTAGCTAGCTACCCACAATGCAAGACTCCTAGCCTCCACTCCGGGCCTCAGTCTCCTCTTCTGAAAAAGGGGACAACAGCCCTATCCTCATGGGACTGTGGTCAGAGTTAAGAGGTTTTGTGGACAGGGAAGACGGAACTCCTGCTATTAACTCAGTGACAGAGCAGGGATCTCAGGGATCGCCTCCCCACCTACCCCCACACACCCTGGAGCCTCCTCCCTTACACCAAAAGGTTGTGGGCGAATATGAGAGGCAACCAATCCATGTTTCTCTCTCACATTGATGTTGCTCTCTTTCTCTTTCCCTCCCCCTCTCTCTAAAAATTAATTAAAAACAACAACAAAATATGTCCTCCTGTAAGGATTTTTTTTAAGTGCTGAAATTAAAAAAAAAAAAAAGAGTCACGGCCCTCAGCATTCATACTGATGAAGGTGCACGGAGTTTGGGGTTCATGCTGATGAGGGTGCACGGAGTTTGGGGTTCATGCTGATGAGGGTGCATGGAGTTTGGGGTTCATACTGATGAAGGTGCACGGAGTTTGGGGTTCATACTGATGAAGGTGCACGGAGTTTGGGGTTCATGCTGATGAGGGTGCACGGAGTTTGGGGTTCATGCTGATGAGGATGCATGGAGTTTGGTGTTCATGCTGATGAGGGTGCATGGAGTTTGGGGTTCTTGCTGATGAGGGTGCACGAAGTTTGGGGTTCTTGCTGATAAGGGTGCATGGAGTTTGGGGTCCCGGGAAGCTGCACCTCGCCCTGAGCCTTCACTTCTCCACCTGCAAATGAATATAAAGTTTCAATAAGATGGGGACAGGGCCAGCTGAGAGGTGTTGTAGCCTGGAGCAAAAGAAAAACTCAGCAATGTTGATCTTATCTAGATTTACAATTTTGTTTACCAGGGCATTCCCTCCCCCTCCCCCCCCCCCTCTCTCTCTCTCTCTCTGTTTGCATTTCAGTTTATAAAATAGTGCTTTAAAATATTCTTTTCTTGCTGACTGAATTTTTGGACGTTGCTCTCCTCAATTTTGCACAAAGGCATGTCTCCTGGCCTCACCCTGGTCTCCACTGGCTGGTTCACAGGGTGGCTGTGAAAGTGGTAACAATGGCGAATGGTTTTTTTTTTTTCTTTCTTTCTTTTTCAATATATATATATTTATTGATTTCAGAGAGGAAGGGAGAGGGAGAGAAACATCAGTGATGAGAGAATCATCGATCAGCTGCCTCCTGCATGCCCCCCACTGGGGATCAAGCCTGCAACCCAGGCACGTGCCCTTGACTGGAACCGAACCCGGGACCCCTCAGTCCACAGGCTGATGCTCTATCCACTGAGCCAAACCAGCCAGGGCGGCGAATGGTTTTTTTATACTTTCTGTGTAGGAGGTACCGATCTAAGAAATATACATTTCATTGACCCTCCGCAACAATCTACCAGCAGGTAGCATTACTATCCCCATTTTGCAGAGGGGAAGCAGGCACGGGGAGATAAGGAACCTGTGGGCCCCAGGGCTGAGTCCCGCCCATGCCCTGTTCTGTCCTTGGGACCCAGAAGCCTGCAGTCTTTCTTGCTCCTACTGCACAGGGGACCTAGCGATGAGAGGGTCAGAGGTCACTAGGCCTTCCGGATGGCCAGGGTCACGGTGGGGACAGAGTGGCCCAGGCCTATGGGCAGAACCTGCAGGGATGTGCCTCCCTGGGAGGAGCTGACCTAACTCCAGGCCACAGCTGGGCTGACCTTTGTCCATGCTAGTCCTTCCCCGTGGGGCCCCACCTGGGGGGGGGGGGGATCCCTCCACCTCCACTCCCCGCTCTCCAGCTCCTTCTCAGGGATCTCCTCCCCACCTACCCAACACACACCCTGGAGTACCCCTTCCTTCCACTGGGTGCTTCGGTCTGGTCTCCCCACTTGTCTCCCTCACCCCCTACAGGGATTTATTTCAGCCCCCTTTCAGCCCCTCTGTGTTCCCTCTGCCTCACCCTCACACCCCTGTGCTCCCCCTACCCCCTATTCAGGGGTTTGGGTTCCTCCTCTTAGAACCTCCCCTCCCCCACCCTCTACAGGTGTTCCTCTGCCCCTCCTACCCCAGGTTCCCTACTCTCTCAGGGCTCCCCTCCCCCATTTGGGGCTCTCCCCTTCTCCCAACCCTCGAAGGGTTCCCGCCCCTCTCCCCTCCCCCTCCTCCTCCCCCTCCCCTGGGGACTTCCCCCCTTTCTTTTGCTCAAACCTATCTTCCCCCCTGGGGCTCCCCCCAGCCCCATGACTCCTGAGGGGCCACTGGGGGTTTTCCTCACTGCCCACGTGGCTCAGTGGAAAGGTCCTGGCCTGCGGTCGGACTCCCCCACTCCATACCCAGTTCCCAGGCCAGGCCTCCTGGCAGAGGGTAGGCTAGGTTGCCCTGGCTGAGCCCACCCCTCTGACGGAGGCCACGCCCAGCTCCCAGCCCAGGGCCGGAGGAGGGGTAGTCATTGCACGCAGCTTAGAGAGAAAGCAGAGGTGGCCGCCCCTACAGTTTCGGTTTAGAGGCAAAATGCAGCAACATGCCAAGCCCAGCTGGGCCAGGAACAAGACTTCCTGGAGTATTTTTCTGCTTGTTGATTTTAGTTTGGGGGAAAGGTTTTTTGTTTTTGTTTTTTTCTTTAGTGCAGTGAAGAGGCCCATCCCAGTAGGGAGAAAACCCGGGGAGGGGGCACCCTGGGGGGTCCCCAGAGGAACTCTAGCTGCAGGGTCCAGACTCCCTGAGGCAGTCTTGCTGTAGGTCACAGGTGCCCCCATGACCTCTCTGGACCTTGGGCTCCGCTGGTGGCTGTGCAGGGGCGGCTGGGGGTGGGGGGGGGTGGGGGGCGCCTACAGCCCCTCCCCATTGCCTCTGAATGTGCCCAGAGCTTGGGGTTGGCTCCAGCACAGCCTGTACCAGCAGTGGCACGGCGGCCAGGTTTCGTAATAAACCGGTCTTTTAATTGCTACAGGGCAGGAGGGAGAATTAAAAAAAAAAAAGAGGCAAAGATTTGTTGGACTTGGGTGGCGCCTGGTGCAGAGAGAAGAGGCACTGTTTTGAGAAGGAGCCTGGAGCTGCTAACAGGGACTTAAGTAACATTTCCTGGTGAGCTTGCGAGAGGGGGCTGGGGGCGGGGCGGCAGCGCGAGGGGGAGTGGGAGTCCTGGGAACTCGCCGAGGCAGCACAAACACAAGCACCCAGAAGCTTTAGACATTTATTACAAGGCCATCCTCATAGAAGTAAAATAGATGTATGTATCTGTAAGCTTCCGGTCTCTCTCAGTGGTTCAAGTCACAGTGCAAGTAACAAAATAGATTGTCTGTTCGGTTTGCAAACTGGGAGTTCATGGGTACAGAGCAACATCAGCCCGTTCCCAAGTCCCAGAGTTTAGTTCTGGCCAGGGCTGCAGACCCTCGTCCACCAAGGCCCGTTTGCGTGTGCAGATGTCAGCTCCAGCCTCTAGAAGGGCGGGGGGCGCCATCAGTCTCACCCCACCCTCCAGTGTGGAGTCCATGTCCTCCCCCGCTGCAGCTTCTGCTCCGTCAGAGGCCTGAGCTGCAGCGTCCCCTCTCCTGCCGGCCTGAGTTCCCCTCTTCTCCGCTTGCAGTGGCCGCCACTGGCGCTGTTCCAGGCTCCCGGCCCTGGGGGTGGCTGCGCACGCCCCTCTCCTTGTCTCCAGTCTCCAATGATTCTGCCCCCGATGGTCTCACAGGTTAGTTTGTTTTGGGGGGTTGTTCTGGGCGGAGGAGGGGTCTAATATTTATTTTGTTTTTTTGGCAGCAACTTGACAGGTTCTGATGCTGGGCGGAGTCTCAGCGCTCCTGGAGGGAAATGTAGGGGACCCACTGGTTGTTCCCCCGGCTCTCTTCGCAATAACTGGCTACCTCCACCAGGCTGTGGCTCTTCCAGGCATCTGTGTGAGGGTTCTGTGGGAGGGGGGAAAAAACGGGGTTCAGTGGGAGTCCGAGGAGTGTGCAGGGAGCCTCCCTCTCCCAGGGCCCCTGTGGGGAAAACAGGCTGGCTCAAAATAGCTCGCGGGGTGATGAGGCCGCTGGGGCTGCCCACGGGACATGCCGAGCGTGGCTGAGCACTGAGCTGGTGCAAGCCCAGCCAGCTCAACTTTGTTGACAAACACGGGCCCAGGTACTGGGGCGGGACAGACCCAGGATGCCCAGCTCACCGTGACCAGGAGGCAGTGCAGGTCCCGGGCCTCCGCGGTGTCCTGGGTCTCCGCTGGCTCGCCCAGCAGCTGCGCCAGGCGTTGCATGCCGGACACCCGGACAATGTTGATGTCGTTGTCACAGCAGAAGGACTGAATGAGTGTGAAGTGGATCTGCAGCGCAATGTCATCCTCCTCCTCCTCGTCAATGGCCAACAGGCACAGGACCACGCAGTCAGGGTCCCTGAGGGGCCAAAGGAAGGGGTCGGGTCAGCTGGGGGCCTGGGGAGGGCCGCGGTGCACAGGGGAGTTTGCATAAACAAAGAGAAACCGCAGGTCTGCAGGGGGGCAGCGTGTGCATGCAGCTGGAGGGGGGCGGGGGACGCAGGGGAAGGTAAAGTAGGAGCATAATGGGGGGACGCTTGCAAATGATGCAGCGTCAGGATACTGCAGCTCCCCCCCACCCCACCCCCCACACACAAACAGAGAGGTTCTCCATCCATAGTGGGGACACTTGGGGAAGTCCCAGCCCCGAGCAAGAGAGGGGTGCAGCAGAGAGCGTGCAGAGCGCAGGAGGGATCTCCACCCGCACCCAGCTGGGGACCGGGGTCTGACTCACACATTCATCAGCTTGGCCGACTCGTACACCCCCACGGTAAGGCGATCCTGGCGCTGCGCGGCGACCAGCAGCTCCTCCACCGCGGCGCTCACCGTCTGCATCCTGGGACAGAGGAGAGGGGGGTCAGCGCCCGGCCGCTCACCGGGCGCTCGGGTGCCCGCCCGGCCCGGCCCGGCCCACTTCAGTCTACTTACTTCTGCGCCGCGTTGTCGCACGCCACCAGCTCTTCCAGAGTCATGTTGCAGTTATAATCCACAGTGAAAAATAGCCCACGCCAGTCCCGAGGGAGGAAATGCAAACTCCGAGGCCGGAGAGCCCAAAACCTTCCTACGGAGCCCGAGTGTTCGGAAGACAGCGAAATCTGCCCCACAAAAGACGGGGGGAAAACTGCGAAGTCTCAGCAGGAATAATCCAGGGTTTGGCGAAACGATGTCTCGGGTCCTCCGCGTCAGCGATCTGCTCCCGCCGCGCCCGGCGGCGCCTTTTAAAGCCTTGGCCGCCGTCCGCCCCACCCACTGGGGAACCCACGAAAGGCGATTGGCTGGCGGTGGAGAATGGGCGGGGCGCCCGTGGGGGGGTTGCCCCACGTGGGGCCAGGAGGAGGGCGCCTGGGGAGCGTGAGTGCCAGAAAAGGGAAAAAAAAAAAAAGCAGAAGTTTTTTCTACAGATTTCCCGGCAGCCCGCGCCGCGTTTCGGGGCGCGCGCGGGATTTCCAGCGCGCGAGGCGGCCCGGACTTTCGGGGGGGCCTGGAATCCCCTCCCAGTCCCCGGAGAGTCCCGGGCCCGCGGTTTTCCCAGGTTGTGCTGGGGGCTTGCAAGAGGAGGGGGCCCGGCTTGCAGCCGGATCCCTCCCCGGAGGTGGTGGTGGTGCTTTCCCCCAGTCGGAGACCCTTAGACACTGAGCGATTTAACTTCTCTGGGCCTCTGTGCACCTACCTGTCTAATGGGCAGGCAACGCCAGCCTCCTTGGGTTGGAGGGGGCGTTTTAAAAAGGGGGGTGAGGTACACATTAAGCGCTTAATAAACTGTGGTGGTCGCGGGAGGTCGCCTCGGAGTCCCCAATGTTGGGGGCTGCGAAAGGAGGCCTGTTTCCCACCTGTCCTATGAGAATGCACACCGGCTTCATCCGGTTGCAGGAAGCATGACAGAAAATAAAGGGTACACAATAAACCTTAAATAAATGTCACTTGGTGGTCCGCAGGAGGTCGCCTCCGAGGTCCCCAGAAGCAGGGGCTGCAAAGTCCGAGGCGCCCTAGGCGAGCCCGGGCTCCCTCTCCCCACCCGCGGAGATTTTCAGGGTAGGAAGCGCGTGGGAGGCGCAGGTGGTCGGGTCTCGGTGCGCGGCGCGCCCTGTGCCGGGCCTCGGGTTCCATCATTTGAAAGCTTTGGACATGTGGTGTGGGCAGATATCGGGCCGGAGAGAAAGCCTGGGGAAAATGGTCCGGGCTTGCGCCTCACTCTGTCACCTAGGGTTCCCTTGCAATGATAGTCGCCACCGACTATCATTTCCTCCGTCCAGGGTGAGCACTGCTATGTATTTAGTGCGTAGTGTACCAGGCTCCCTGTAGCGTAGTTCATTAAATCCTCAAGGACCCAGGAAGCAGGGGCTACACGTATCTGCACGATGCAAAAGGGGAAACTGAGGCCGCCTCTCCCTCAGGCCACTGGCTACTTGTTCTCGTAGCCACACGTGTGCGCCAGGAGCGGCTGCACGCGGGGACGGCTGCCAGCTTCACAGTCTCCCAAGGAAGGCAGTTCACGAGCCAGGCGGGCAGGCCTGCGGGGGACTCTCTCCCACGGCCGATCGGGGGCTCCGGGTGACTCACAGCTGTGTCCCCTCCCCCGCCAGCCTGGGGTCTGGACTCAGCCCCAACGCTCGGTTCCCCAGGCTCCCCGCCCAGTCCGGGGCCGGATTGATGCATCACGCCGCCTCCGCACCGCCCACCTTGGAGTCGCTAAAGGTCCCGGGCGCTGAGAGGCGTGGCGGCGCCACCTGGTGGCCGATTTGGGTCCCTGCGTCTGCAGCGACTAAGGGATAGACCGGCGGGGCGGAGTGAAGAGGGCTGGATGACAGTTGCAATATATATATATTTTTAACATATTTTATTGATTTTTTTACAGAGAGGAAGGGAGAGGGATAGAGAGTTAGAAACATCGATGAGAGAGAAACATCGATCAGCTGCCTCCTGCACACTCCCCACTGGGGACGTGCCGGCAACCAAGGTACGTGCCCTTGACCGGAATCGAACCTGGGACCCTTGAGTCCGCAGGCCGACGCTCTATCCACTGAGCCAAACCGGCTAGGGCGACAGTTGCAATATTTTATATACACAACATTTTACACATGCAACATGTACTTAATAATATCAGAATGCAATATACTTTAGAAATCAACATTTATGCAAAAAAAAATCCATGATGAACAAAATATCAAGATTTTTAAATGTACCTGGACAAGGGCCAGGACTTAGGGGAAGGCCAGGGAGGTGAGCTGTGCAGGTGCAGGACCAGATCCTGTTTATTTACAATTTAAAAAATTGTTTGGTTTATCATGGATTTTTTGTGTTGATTTTGATATAACTAATTCATGAAAATACTTACCTTAATGAATGAGTTTT